GCTATATCGTTTTTTTTTAATTAAAATATATTGCTCATAAAATTAGTAATATTGCAATAGTAAATATATGCTTAAAATATAAAAATGTAACAAATTTGAAAAATAAAAAGGAATGTAATGAATATAATTTGTTTCTAGCCTTAAGCCGGCCCTACTTCAAAGGGGATTTTGTTGGTTTCGCTTTCTTCCATTGCCAAGACCAACGTTGCCGGAGTGTTCCAGTTTGAATCACTTGTCTGCTTTGAGAAATGGTATTTGCATATTTTTTTCTTTCATATTTATTATATTCTGAAATTTATTAAAAATTAATGAATTTTATATATTATTTAATAAAAATATTTTTACATGTTCTTAATTATCACTTTTTACAAATAATATTACATTATGTTAATTATTTTTTTATCTTTAAAAAAAAATTTATGAATTTTTACATTAATAAAAAAGGTTAAAATGATGAGGACATTATTAAAAGATTAAAATAAAAAAAATGTTTTCATTCATTTGTGTAATTAAATCTTAAATAACATATATTAATTGAAAATTAGAAGAATAATAAATAAATATAATGTATTAATGTTTATGGTGTTGTGTGTGAGAGAAATGGTTCCTATATGTCATTAGAGCATGGTTGCCCAATTTTCTTTCTTCCAAGTCTTCATCATTCAACTCATCACCTTCCACTTTCTCTAATGTCTTTGCACACTTTCTCTGTCATCACCAATACAGTATTAAAATATATAGCAGTTAATATGTGGTTAGAAAAACTCTAACAGAAAGTATGCAATTCACGGCATTATGAATTTGTAGGATAAAAAAACAAAATAAAGGGATACAAGGGTAATATTAAGTTAGCTAATTTTCTCAAATATGAATATCTTTGCATGCATGTAATTAGTATTTCTGTAATGAAGCAAAATAAAATAAAAGAAGAGATGCTGATTAAAGCAAGACAGGTACATATGTCGCTCAAATTTGGTGGCAGTCACAACACAACACAACACAACACAACCTTGCGTTGTGATATAATGTGACGCATGTTATTTTATAGTAAGGGCAAAAAATATCAACGTTATGTTTCCAAGTGAATATTAGAAAATCTTAATTAGTACTGGAGAATAATATCTTAATATGATCATTGGTGAACAACGTTTTAATCTATTTTCAGTCTTTCAGATGGTGAGGCTGGTATTACTATTGGCTCATTTAATTTTCATCAAATTTAAATATGTCTATATGTATATCTTGTAAAATATTGTATAGAGAATAGAATACATAAAATTAATTTTTTGAAAGAGATAAAAAATTATCTTAATCCTTAAATCTTTACCCTGAAATTTATAATAAATATTTTTCTTTCAGTATGTAAATAATAGTTTATATTTGTAATGAATATTTGATATTATTATAATCTTAGTTTTGACTATTGATATTTTAAAAATGAATTTTAAAATTTAATTTATAAATAAAAAAGTAAAGATAAATATTAGGATTTTTTAAATTTATTTATAAAATAAAATTTAGTAAATATTTTTAAAATATTTTTTTCGAAAACAAGTTAAAAATAATTATTTTATGAATGAGGAAAAAAATTATCTGATAAAATTATTCTCAAACACAACTTTTAAAATAAAACCAAAAACTAGTTGGGTTATAACTTTTTTAATTAATTATTTTTTAACAATTATACTTAATATTAGTCTTGTTAAATGTAATTAAAATATTTTTTCTTTATAAAGAATTATAAATAAGATAAAAAATAATCATAAATATGTAACTAAAATAATATACATAGAGATCAATAATTAAAAATAGAATTTAAAATTATTAATCACAATTAAAATTATATTATACCGAATATAATTTTGTCAAAACTTCTTTACTTACAATAACAATATTAGTTTTTGCATCTAACAAAATTTAACGTGTTGCAAAAGTAAAAGAAACTTATGATACAGGACACATATATATCCTTCTCATTAATTATTTAGCATTAAGGGAAATCATTATACTTATGAATGTTTTAATTATGAAATTAGGTCAAAACTTTGAATCTCTCTTTTTATGACTTGTGATCTATGAATGTTAGAATATAAAAACATTATTTATCATTTATCTAGCATGAAAATAATTAATTAATAAAAAAAATACAAAACTCGCCTATTTAAAATAAAATGTTGTTTATAGAAAAAGAGTGTCGCCTATAAAAGAAATAATAAAAATATATTTGTAAATTGAAAATTTATTTTCCAATAAAATAATTTCTAATAACAAAAAAAACACTAATAAAGAATGGATCTATGCCTAGATTTAAAAAAAAATAAAATTAAACCCATTATAAAATACATTCCAGCACAAAATTTTCCTCCTTTCGTGCCATGCATAGAAATTAGATTTAGTAATGATTATGTTTCATGGCTTTCCCAAGCCAATATGTCATTCTCACGAGACATCATTTGCTAGGAACCAAATCCACCACCATAACCCTAAACTAGCAAAAGATAAACAAATGAAGCTTTCATATTTATACGCTGTCCAACAACAACAATGTTGATTGAATAAGATACAACTAAATTTAAATTTTATACGAATGGCAAAAGACAAAAAAAAAAAAAAAAAAAAAATCTGTCAAGTCAATCTCACAATAAAAATATTTTTGAAATTAGTAATTATCTTTTAAAAGTCCAATAATTTAGCATTGGTAAGTAAATAAAAGTTGAAAAAATTAAAGTAACAAAAATCAATTTGGTGATAGTAATTACCATGACCAAATAACCTACACTAATAATAAATTATAGTCATAAGAACAACTTGTCATATAGAAGGAGTCCCAAGGAGGTAGAAGAGAGAAAAAAAAAGAAGAAGTTAATTTTGATGTCACAGGTGAAGTTGGGAGAACTTTGAAAGGAGTGAAATTTGGAAGAAGCGTTACAGAATTGGATACTTGTAATTAATAAAATCACATGAATCAATCATCGTCGATAATCCAATAACATGGCATACAGTTGGCAAAAAATCATGTTTTACGTGTATCTCTAATTAGGAAGCTGTCAATGAAAATGACACATTTGAAACCAGCATAAACTCTGTACACATATTACTTTCCTAATTATATTATGAAGTATTACTCAAAATTATATTAATTTTATTTTTGGATTTCATCGATATTTTTTTTATAACTATATTATTAATAGGAAATATTTATACAATTATATACAATTAAACTCTGTCGAAAAACATGTTAGATTATAAAAATAAAAATAAAAACAAACACTCAAACTAATTTTCTATCTATTGAATGAGTAGTCAATATTTTCTTTTGGTCTAAAACGCTTATATTCCTTTTTCTTTCTAGTCCATATATAGCGTTTAAAAAAAAAAATCTTGAAAGAGTTATAAATAAAAATAATTAATACGAGATATGTTTGGTTAATGAATTACTAATTTGGTTTGTCGAGTATAACCCTATCTTTTAAATAATCTTCAAAGTAATAAAACTGTACAAGTAGCTCTCAAAATATCGATTTTAGTGTCTAAATTAATATTAAAAAACTAATTAGAAACAGATTTTATTAAATTTGAGATAATTATTAAACACTTTTAATATTTAAAATTAAAGAGAGAATAATATTTTAAAGAATGATGATTTTTTTTTTCATATAGCCGAGTGTGATCTTGAATTCAAAGTCACCAAGAGCCATATAGAAGCTGTATATTTTCTGATACCTCAGAACTTCAATTAGCAAGAAACTATTGGGTCTACTAAAAGGAATTATTTTGAGAATTTTTTGCAAAATTATATTTTAATAAAATCTTATATGATTTTGATTCGAAAATATCAAGACACATAAAGAAAAAAGTGGATGACAAAGGCAATAACCAAGATTCAATTTTGTCAACTCATTTTTCTCCTCCAACTTTCTATATCTCTCCATCTTACTTCCTTTTTCTTTCTTTTTGGTTTCTTTGTTTTGACGTGAAAGCTTTCAACTTGGCTTTAAGGAGACAGGGGACACGAAGTCAGCGTCATGATCCTTAACTTTAGAAAAGAGAGTTCAATTGGTCAAATTTGCCATATCCTTTTCACTAGGTCCAAATTTGTTTGGTTAGTTTCTAGTCCAAATTGGCTTCAAAATGATCGTGAAACGTGAAACGTGAAAGCTAATGACCACAATATTTATTTGGCTTACCTGACGTAACTTTTACTTTTGGTGCTAGCACATTACCTTTAATTGTTAGTCAAAAATGAAAAAAGTTCCCCATTATCAATTAGAATAAGTTAATCTTTTAAAAACTAACAAATAAGCAGAAGCTGGCATCTTTTCCATTTATCATTTTGTTGATATCATTAATGTAAAAACTTTCAACCATTTTTATATATGATGGGTTGAAACTCAACCAACCATTTAAAGTTAATTATTTAAGTTTTAGTATTTCCTGCAATAAGTTATTTAATATTAAAATGACTAAAGTCCGGAAGCGTTACATAATATACAAATTTTTCACTATTTTCATTTCTTTTCTTAACTAGCTACACTCTCCAACACATTGACAAATACTTTAATTTAATTTCAATTTGAAATAACATCTATTGAGAAACCAGAATTACCCGGTCATAAAACTTTTTCCGGACGCTTAGTAAATTTTACAAGATACAAACAAATTAGAATATTGTTTTTAATTATATACTCATTTCAATAAAATTTGGCTATTAAAAGATATCTAAAGTGACAATTTAAATTTCTATCGGATAAAGTTAATAATAAAAGAAATAATCTTAACATCTCACATTTTTTTTTCCTATTAGATATATATACGAGTGAACTTGAAGTGTATAAACAAAACAAAAATAAAAATAAAATAGGTATAAAATATATATACTTGTACATGAAATACATCATCGAATAGAATCTCAACTACTTCTGCTTCAATGAGAGAAATGAATAATAGATTTCTCCATTATTGCAACAAGACCATATTTAATTGATCATCTAACATAATGCCTACACTATAACCTCACGATTTTCCTTCTTGATGTCTTCTAATTCCTCGTTTCCTTCAAGTTTGATATATTTATACCACTTAGCCAATGCAATATAAACTACAAGATCAGCTGTTGTTAGTGCAGCTAAGAGGAAGTAGAACCTGTCCAAATGTCCCAGGTTTAGGTTCCCTGGTATCCATCCAGGTATGTCACGTTTGGCAGAGATTTTCATCACAATTGCAACAAGCAAACTACTAACGTAGTTTCCAAGTGATATTGATGTCATGCAAAGTGCACTTCCAAAGCTTTTCAATCCATCAGGTGCCTGTCCATTGAAGAACTCCAATTGAGGCACATACATGAAAACCTCTGATGCTCCTGTGAGTACATATTGTGGCACTTGCCAAAATATGGACAGTGAACTTGACCCATCACATTTATCACAATCTTTTATTGCATACCTCAACCTGAATTTCTCCACCAACCCTGCAGAAACCATGGCCATGATTGCAAGGACTAGACCAATTCCCATCCTTTGAAGCTCTGAGAGTTTGGTTTTCATTGTTTTGGCCACAAAAGGGTCAAGAACGTGCCTATATATGAAGATGAAAAATGCCACCCCTAAGATGTCGAAGCTGGACATGCTTGCTGGAGGAATGTTGAAACTTGATATTGTAGTGTCCATAGCATCTCCTTGCACAACAAAGAGTGATGCCATTTGAGCAAAAGCAACTGAGTACATTATGGTGCATAGCCAAATCGGGAGTAGCCTTAGTACGCATTTCAGTTCTTCTACTTGTGTCACAGGGGATAGACGCCATGGACTGAGTTTATTCTCTTCTATCTGCTCCAAATCTTTTGATGTGATAAACGCTGCTTTATCTAAGAATCTGACAAAAATAGTATAAATTTCATCAATGACTTGCTAACACATACTTCTTGGAAAAAAAAAAATAGAATTTTACTATTAGCATTCTCTCACTTATTTTCTTTCAATAATTTATAGTATTCAGATTTGTTAAAAAGGGTTTTTCTCTAACACTTACCCAAGTGAAAGTAGAATTAAACGACCATTTAATAACATGTACCAATTATCTTAAACTATATCATGAGTGGCATAACTTATTTACAGTAAAATTGTTGAACTTAAATTTATCTAGAGTAAATTTAGACACCTCTTTATTAGAATGCTTCTAAGACACAACTTTTACTATAAAACACTTCAGAATTTTAATCATCGCTTCTTGATACTTATAAATTCTTTTTATCTCTTCTATTATTATATAGACTCATCTCTCTCTCTCTCTCTCTCTCTCTCTCTCTCTCTCTATATATATATATATATATATATATATATATATATATATATATATATATCGTTTTAGCTGTCAACTAGAATGAAAGTGTTCATCCATCTTCATCTTTTAGTTGTCCAGAGAAAAGCATTTCCTAAATGAAATTCTGATTTTAATTATGAAATAGCACAGCAGTACATTTCTGTCTAACTTTCACTTCTAAAAAATTACAAATAATACCAAGTGTAATGTGTGAGAGAGGGGGAGAGAAAAAGATGATGTACACACCTAAATCCTTCTGTGTGGAGCATTTTTCTCCTTCCATTGGGTGAGGATTCTTCAACCTCATAAAGTCTATCTTCAGCTGATAACTTGACCTTCCATTTTTTTGCGGCAGCAACAAAAACTTGGCCAACCCTGGGTAGAGGGTTTCCAACAGGGTTAAAGTATCTATACCTTCGTGTGCCACAAAGGAACAAAATCAATGCAATAGCAGCAGAGGCAGCTGATGCCGAGAATCCCAAAGTCCATTGTCCCTTATCCTCAAAATAATCCAATACGGTGTTTGAGAAGAGGGAGCCAAGGTTCAAAGCCAAATAGAAGTAGCTAAAAAATGCTACTTTTGAAAGCTGTTCCTTAGGATCACCTTCATCAAATTGATCAGCCCCAAATGTAGCTATGTTAGGCTGATATCCTCCGATTCCCAAGGCTATTAGATATATGGAAACATAGAACAAAACCGTTTGATACGATGAGTGTGATCCACATTGTAATTCTTTGTCACCACAACCACTCGGCTCCAATAGGAACATGTGAGATGACAATGATAATGAAACCAAACCCTGTCATATGAAAATCATTAATTCTCTTCAATACCAAACTCTTGCTCATGTTTTACTTTATCCAAAGCTAATTTAATGTATTTCGAAATCAAGTTTAGTTTAAATTTTAAGTTATGTTAACCTAATTAACTTGATGTTTTAATTAAAAGGAAATATGTCAAAATGATCTCATTATTTCCATCAAGTTTTGAGTAGGCTAAGTCTAAATTCGATAAATAGTTGGGTCAAGTAGTGACCGTGATAATTATCCTTATCTACCCTATAAATACTCTTACCTCATCCTACATAAAGAAATAAGTGCAAATAAAGGCGAAAAGGGGACCGAATGTAAATATGGAAATGAGCATTGAAATACCATAAATTTATTTATAATAACTACAATATTCGCTATAACTAATATTTATATAAAATGTATGTGAAAAGCATGATATATTATTTCATTGAAGGTGAGAATGTAAAAAGGCTCAATGAGCTACCACCTCTTTAGAAGGCCTATACTCTGTATCATCAAATATACTTTCAAATAATAATAATAATAATAATAATAATAATAATAATAATAATAATAATAATAATAATAATAATAATAATATAATATATTAAAAAAGAAGAAAAAAATGTGATATATATTAAAATTTTTAAAAATAATTATTTTAAAAAAATGGGGTCACATAGACATTTAAAATGCATGTGTTTCCACTATTTTATATATATATATATATATATATATATATATATATATAATGAAGATTCTATTTTTTTAAAATTTTTTTATCATCATTTATAATTATTTTTATGAGAAAAGTGAAATGGAAATATTTAACATGTTTAAAAGTAAAAAGAAAAAAAATTACGTATAAAAAAATATTTTAAAAATTTAATAAAAAAAATGTACAAACAGATGCTTTAGTATCCATTAATGCATGTATATAAAAGACATATTTTTTATAACCATTTTTACTTTCATTACATATAATTATTTTTATGACATATTATATATGAAGGAAGAAATAAAAAAATACTATAAAGAAATAGTTAGTGAAAAGAGAAAATGAAGCAATATATTTGAAAAAGTAAAAATAAAAATCCGTGACACCTGTAAAAGTGGAAAGACAAAATATAATATATATTAAAAATGAAATAAATAATTATTTAAATAATTAATAATATAAAAATATGAATATAGACACGATCCATGTTTTTATTAATATATAAACTCTACGTAATTATTTAACTTTTCAATTTACTCTCTTAGAGAAAAATCATCATTTTAAAAGTGTGTGTATCCGGTTTTCTACTCCTTCAAAAACGTTTCTATTTTACCGAAGCAAGTCAAAAGTGAGACTACGCTACGCACATAGTTAGAAGTTTAGTTGAGGAGCTAGCTAAAATGAACATTTTAAAAGGTATTTAATTTGTAAGCTTGCATCGGATAAATTTTTACAAATTCAGACAAAGCAGTCCATTTCTATAGATCAAATAAACTTGCTTAATCAAATTGATGTTAATCTCTCTTATATTTGTATTGTTGTTTAGTTAAAAAGTCATTAGGGTTTGGTCAGTGGATATGAAGGGTGACAACAGCGTACGCAAGTTTGGTAGTGGGTTGAGACGTTCCAGACCAGACCACAATTTGATGTGCAAAAGTTGGTTTGCTTTGACTTTTGGTTAATCTATGATCATTTCCAAAATCAAAACCAAACAGCTAGTTAACCCTAATGTTGTTGCTGTTGTTAGGACAACATGAAGTGAGAATCCATGTTCGTTGAGAAGAACACATTTTTGCTGAAGTCAGATAGTTAGAAAATGCTATGTTTCATGAATGAGAGGGAAGGTGCAATGAATTGGAGATGACTTACAATGAGAAATATGAGCTGGAAGATGGCACAGGTGATGTACCTTCCCCAGTAAGAGTCACTGAGGAAGGCTCCAAGAAGAGAAAATAAGTAAACTGTCCCTGTCCACTTGCTCACGTTGTTGGCTGCATCAGCGTTCTCTTGACCCATCACTCGAGTCAAAAACAGCACCAGATTCACTCCCACTCCAAAGAATGCCAGATTCACAAGCCCTTGATTCACTGTTGCAGTAACCACGTACCCCAATAAACATCATTCAATACACTTTTCTTATAAACTAATATTGTACTAATTTTTATTATAAAAATTACAAGTTAACATAAGTTATGTACAATAAATTTATTGAATATTAACTAATTTCTTAATTTTCAAATTAGTAGCTAAACATTCCGTAGTTAAGAATAAAGATTAAATTACGATTTAGAAATTAATTTAAATAAAATAGTTTCTAATATAATAAATATAATGACTACATTTTTTTCCTAAATTCTTCAATATTTAATAAATTTCTTAGAGTGATTGAACAGTGTTGTGGAGTTTTTTTTTTACCTGACTCTATTTTTTTTTCAAAATATTTCGCAAAACATGGGATGCTCTCGAATTCTTACAATGTCTAAATATTTTTATTAGATTATTTTGTTAACATTGTTCTCTTTCTATGTTGTATGAGTGGCTGTACAAAACTTCTTTTTCACGTGAAAATTGTTAACAAAATATAATAAGTTAGAATAACACTTTGTTTTCTAATTATTTGGCATGATTGAAAATTGCATTATTTCTCTAAAAGTTGAAATGAAAACTTGAATATATATGAGTTGAGTGAGTACCTAAAATCAAAATTCCAGTAACCCAAGTACCAGTTCTTTCTCGAACCGCAGGATTACCACGGCTATCGATGGCTCCATCTGACGTGCAAACCTCGTACCCTCCTCCGTTCATCTTTCCCTTCATTTTCTCCTAAATATAATCAACAAATAACTTAGTTCAAGATGGATTTTCAAAAGCTTTTTAATTCAAAAACAAGGTTTAGACAATAAAAGTTTATGAGATGTAGTATACAGAGAAGAAAAATTTGAGAAGGCAGGGAAAGATAAAAGTGGTGCATGCTCATAGAGGGAGTTCTATTTTAACTTTTTTATGCATGACAATGTGAAGAAATGGTACATACACCCGCTGTTTCATATTTCAGAATATTCATGCATGCATTAGGGCAACTGAGGAAGAAAAAGCATTGAAGAAAAACCAACCAGGATCCCGAAATGAAAATTTTGAAAAAAAACTGGACATAACTAAACTGACCTTTTTATTAAAATACAAACAACCCATTAGTGTGTGGTTTATCTTACACGTTAGGAATGTGAACAGTTAATGTGGAAGAGATATATTTTTGAAAAATGTGTTTATTATTGGCAAGGAGATATAGCAAAAGGATTGATGAAAAATGGAAGCATAGTGTGCATGTATATATAGCAGTTTGAGGAGATTTACACTTGGAATCTGTATACGGCAAACACATTAAAGAGAAGGTTAGGGAAAAAAATATGGAAAAAGCATAATAAAGTATTTTTTATTCAGTGGATGTTTTAGGTGTACCCTAGCCATGTGTCAGTCGTAATTAGTACATGGTTGAAATATTTGTGACAAATTAATTTTTTACATTATTTACGGAAAATATAAAAAATGGACCCCTAGTTTCTATTAGTTTTTACACATTTTACCTTTTAGAATTGTAGTTCTTGTTAATTGCAATGTATGGCTGAAAAATTGAATCACTCCTTCTACTTTATTTTTGCTTTGTTAGGTAAAAAAATGAGTTGGGTGAAAAAACTAATTTAAAGACTCTGTAAACATTTGCCAGATATAAAGTATAACTTTAGCAGCTTCAGGGGTTAATCGCATGAGATTTTTTTGTTTTGCATGTACTTGGCCTAGGGTTAAGAAGAAAAAGAGTTTTCATAAAATAAAACTATTTATTATATTAAGATAAAAATAATTTAATGTTTACTTTCAAAAAAATATTTTTTTTAGTCAAGACAAAGTATAAACAGGGTTTTGTAAATTTTTTATAAAAAAAGTTTTATAGATTTTATATTTTTAAACAAATACACATAAATATGTAAATATGTTTATATTCTTACTTTTTAATTAATATATTTTATTTAATTAAATTAAGAAAATTATTATATTTATGAATTAAATTATATAATTTTAATCAATAATTTAAAAATATTTATGATTTAAATTATAATATTATTACATATATTTATATATTAAAATAATAAAAGAAGGAAAAATATATTTTTGGTAGCAAAATTGACATACTAAACAGAATAAAACGAGTTGATAAATTAAAAATATCAAATTGTTTCACCAATTTGAATAAGACTAGTCTATTAAGTTTAACCAACCTATTTTTTATTTCTAATTTATTACATTATAAATAATAATTAAGAAATTAAAAAGATTTTTATTATAAATGTAATATTTAATGTCATTGATTCCTTTTTTTATCTCAACCACGTAAATGAAATTGTTTTTTTTTTTAAATAAGAATTAAGTGTATAGGTCAAATTGTTAACCTTGAATTAAACAAAGCACTTTAGTAAGTTGATGGGTTGGTCCTATTTTGCTTTCTTGACGTTGAATAAGAGGAATAGGTTTGTGTTAACTCCTTCAAAGTGGCATATTATTAAGAAAAGCGAGCACAGGCATCAAATGAGGTTAGGCCACAGATAGACCTTACTTTTTGAGGCAATACCCACTCAGTGTCCTGTTTTCCTATTTGCCATTTTCTTCTTGCATTGCATCTGATCCTATTTGTTGTTCTCCACACTTCATACCCTAGTTATCAAAGGACGTTACCTAATTAAATAGATTAGAATAAGTTAAACAATATACCAAAACACGAGAAATGGAATACATAACAATTCTATAATAATTACAAAAATGAATCTTGGAAAATATTATTAGTGTCGTCACTTGTGACCTTCAATGTTTTTCCATCCACTCGTTTTCCAAATTCAAAAATTGGTCAAAAGATTGCTTTTCTTCCATTTTCTGATTTTAACAGTCTACTTATCAAATCACGATCCTTATGTTAGTCAAACTCAGTTTGGTGCCAGTCACATTCCGATATGACATTTCTTCATGAACGGAATTATTGACGTGATGTCTATAAACTATGTTAAAAAAAAAACTATTTTTAAGTATAAATTAAGTTATTTTTGTTTGAAAAACAATTAAGTGAAAACAACGATGATAGAAAAACTGTATAAATGAATTAGGCACAAAATGAGAACACCAAATACTAAAACTTAATTAAAATCATGGATAACTTATGTATTTATCTCAACTGTTGTAGAACTCTGCATATTACATCTTATAAATTTGAATCTAGTCGTTGATATTGTGAATATTTTTGAAGTTTTTTTTTTTTTTACTTTAACTCGTTTAAAAAATTAATTCACACAAAATTAGTAATGAATGGGAAAACATTATTCATTCTAAAAAATATATAAATCATTGTTACTTTAATTCCTTAAAATAAATAAAAAAATCTATCAAAGAGCAATATATTAATATTTTAGTTTAGAATTTTAAAAGTTATATAAATTAAATAATAATATTAACATATAACTATGTACACTTATTTAGTATCTGGAGACTAATTTTAATTTCTTTTAAAAACTAATGTAACGCGATTTTAGACTTTTATGTACTAAAATGGTGGGTTGCCATTAAAATTATGAATTTTATTAACTGTTCGATACCAAATACTGGAAAAATATTGTTTTCTTAGAAAAAAATATTCATTATTTCATTTCGAATCATAAATAAAAAAAAAACAACTTTTTTTTTCATTAAAGGTTCTATGTAAATCCACAATATTCTAACTATAAATACTTGTATATATATACTTAGTAAAAAAAAAGTTTAAAGTATAATTATACTAACACTAATACTTTTCAAACTACATATACTTATGCTTCCCTTTTTTAGGATATATGATTAATGTTTCCTAAAAAATAGGAAATAGTAGCTTCACTTTCCTGGCAAACACACTCACCATACTGTTTAGTGATTAATACAATTATTAATAATTATTATTATTATTATATATTACTTATTACATCTGACCTACGGCGTTTCCCATAGGACGATTAATAATAAAGTTTGGTTTGTAAATGTTAATTTATGTGTGAAACATATCTCCAGAGTCTGGTTTGATGGCGTAGATGAATATATCTCCATTCCCTATTTACGTCAACTAGAAAAGTTGGTTTGATTTGAAGGATAAAAAAAAAAAAATTTAGTTCTTTTATTATATCATACCTTGTTAATTAATTATAGTTTGGACAAAGCTTGGTGAGTTCCCTGTCATCTAAAATTAAAGTAGCCCGCCAATATTGATGTAATGAAGATGGATCATCATCACATCAAAACTTTGGTGCCAGTCACCACCCAGTATTCGGACATTCATGTTTCAAATAATCATTGATTAAAGAAATTTTATTTTATTCTAAAATCTAAAAAACATATCAAATTTTTTGTTTATTCAATTTATTAGTTAAGAAAAAGGGTATCGTAATTACTGGGGAAGACTAATTTTTACATTAATTAGAAATATGTGACCTCTCTTGGTGGTTTCAATACTAACCACTAAATAAAGTTTGTGAAGGCATGGATCATAAAATGAGATCATGAATAATGTTGGAGAAGTTGTTCCAAGGAAGGTTTTGGCGATGGTGATGTTATTATTATAAATGCAATTGATGTAGTTAAATTCTCCCACTTGACACAATTAAGGTGACAAGGCATAACCTTTGAACTTTGTGGATGATCTTATTATAGAATTATGAATGATGCAATTGTCAATTTTGTTGTAAGTAGTGCTCTTCTCATTTCATTTGCTTTGCCAAGGTGTATTTGGCGTCATGGATCCATGTTGATGGTCAAATTGTGATAACTAACGTTTTTCCATGTTAATATTACTGTATCAAGCAATTGATTAAATAATATTCGAGTTCGATTCTTCAAAAAATAATTCTTAAATATATTTTATTTAACATAGTGAGTTATATCTATGAAAAAAATATATTAATGTGATTATAAATTTAAGCGAAAAATGTTTTTTTAAATCATATATTTAAAAGTTCATTTTTTAAGAAGACAAAGTTTACCATAATTTAAGAAAAAAAAAGTACCACACAATTAATTTTTATCATAATTACTCAATTAATTTAGTATAAAAAGATGACACAATTGATAAACTCAAATCAACCTAATTTATTTTTCGTAATTATTATGACAATATAATATTTGAATTTGAGTATTTTTTAAATTTAACTAATTGTGAGTGAGAATAAATTAAACTATAGTGTATTTGAGTTCAACATATATAAACAAGTCAATAGATTTATAAATATAATTAATATTTAAAATTTATTATTGATAATTATTTAGTGTAAATTACGTAAAAGTGTAGATAGGCATCATAAAAAGTCTAATTAAAATAAACCTTTCTAATAAACATGTTAGACTTTACATGAGTTAGGTCATTTTTTCTAATTACGAGTTAATGAATTGGGTGTATATAAATTGATAAAATAAAGAAGCAAACAAGTACCTTGGCGATATTTTTAAAATTCAACATTACATAAATAAAGCAACAAAAATGAACCATTTGCTTTTAGAAATTGAGGAATCACAACTAGGTTGGTGTAATGTGAGAGAGACAACTTTCCCTTGCAAAAACCATGGTTGGCTTTGTGGCTAAATCAATTTTGACCACAAAACAGAGTAGGGAGACATCATTCATATTTTTACTTAATGCTATTATTCTTTTTTGTTCTTTTGTTCTGTGATTAAATATGTTCGTGGTTAGAGATGAAAAAGAAGGGGTAGTTTGGAGAGGAACAAAATTAAAATTTTAACACCTTTTCCTTTATGTGTATCTTTCTAAAATATTCTCTCTTTATGTGTATCTTCTTTATTAAGAGATTACGTATTAAATATGTAACTGGGAAGCTTAAGATAAGAATGTAACTGTATTTTTTATTTTATTTTATTTTTAATCGTAGATATTAAAATATTAGTTCTAAACAAAAAAATTCTAGAGTTAAAATATTCATGACAGCCAAGTATAATTGCAAAAAAATAAATTTTTGTATCATTATACTAATTTTTGTTTTTTAGCGTGATTGGTTCTTTGACCATGTCAATAAGGCCTAAGATTTATTTTTCTTGAAGAACATTCAACTTTTTTTCTTTGTTGTCATTGAAAGATTGTGGGCTTTTAGAATTTGTATGTGTGTTATTTTCTTTGAAAGACACTTTCAATGGCTAAATTACCTTTCAGTGAGACATTTTACTCTTGTTTCTGAATCTTGTTAGTTAACTGTATGATTGTGAGTATTTGCAAGTCATTTTACCATGCTCTTCAATTGGAGAGATCTTTGCTTCATTTTAACTTTCTAGGCACTAAAATTATGATTTTTTTTCTTTACAACCTTCTCATGATTTACAAAATTTATTAAATTGTTAGAATAATCATTTTCATATTTATTACTTTGATCTTTATCAACTCAAGTTTTCTACTCAACGTGATCTACAAGTCCTTAATTCTAGTAAATGATGATTTTGTCTCTTTCTAGTTTCTCAGAGATTTAATTTAAGAAAATTGATAATCCAAATGTGATCATTTTTATTATTAAACATTAAAATTAGCAGAGTGGTCGTAAGTAGAAATATTTGCACCACCGTTGCTTAAAAAATAAACCAATCAACCTTATTAGTGTTTGCGTTCAACCTCACTATTTCTAGTTCTTGATGGAAATTTTGCCTAATAACTTAATTGTTGAAAATATATAACAATAATACTAAAAATGAACGATTGAAATTAATGAAGAAAAATTATCATTAAAATTCATGAAAAAACATGCTTGTGTGTATGTACAGAATCGACTTAACAAGAGCAATATTTTCCTTAGTATATTTTTTTTGTAATTTCAAATATTAGTAATTTCTATTACTTTTAGCCTTTCTTATGTAAAGATTTCATGCATTTTGTTTTCATTTTTACTTTCCAATAGTTATGTTATCTCTCTTTAGATCTTGTTATATAAAAAAATTTAAAACTAAAATTAAAATAGTTTAGGAACTAAAAATATATTTTTTAAATAAAGAAACAAATGAGTTGGTAACCTTTCCCTTAATCACAGGAAGTGAAATACTCGTTCTTGTCTTAAACCGACGACGAAGATCGCAGATGTTCAGACTTGCAAGACGAATGCATGCATGGTTCGTCTTCCGACACTGAACACACAGTTCCTCTCCAAGAAGCGCCAATGTCTCTTTCTCCTAAAGTCGTGTGGTTCCATGGACCAACTCCGTCAAATCCAGGCACAAATCCACCTCTCTGCTCTCTACCAAGACACACATATTCTCTCAGAACTTGTCTACTTTTGCTCCCTCTCTCCCTCCAAAAACCTATGCCACGCGCACATACTCGTCCACCACGCCGCCACCCCATCACCTATTTTGTGGAACATTCTCATCCGAGGCTACTCTGCGAGCGAAACGCCGCTTGAAGCCTTCTGGGTTTTTCGGAAAATGCGGGAATGTGGCGTCATGCCCAACAAACTCACCTTCCCTTTCCTCATTAAGTCTTGCGCCGTGGCTTCTGCACTTGGTGAAGGGAAACAGGTCCACGCGGACGCTTTTAAGTGTGGTTTGGCCTCTGACGTGTACGTTGGTAATAATTTGATTAACTTTTATGGGTGTTGTATGAAGATTGTGAGTGCAAGGAAGGTGTTTGATGAAATGCCTGAGAGAACAGTTGTTTCTTGGAACTCGGTTATGACTGCGTGTGTTGAGAGTCTTTGGTTGGGTGAGGGGATTGAGTATTTTTTCAGGATGTGGGGTTGTGGGTTTGAGCCTGATGAGACTTCCATGGTGTTGTTACTCTCTGCTTGTGCTGAGTTGGGGTACTCGAGCTTGGGAAGATGGGCTCATTCTCAATTGGTTTTTAGAGGGATGTTTCTGAGTGTTCAATTGGGTACTGCTCTTGTTGACATGTATGGGAAGTCTGGGGCTTTGGGCTATGCAAGGGTTGTTTTTGAGAGAATGGAAAAGAGGAATGTGTGGACATGGAGTGCAATGATATTGGGGTTGGCTCAGCACGGGTTTGCTGAGGAAGCTCTTTCGCTGTTTGCAATGATGAGTAACAATAACAATCATGATATATGCCCAAATTACGTGACCTATCTTGGGGTTCTTTGTGCTTGTAGCCATGCCGGGATGGTAGATGAGGGTTACCGATATTTTCATGACATGGAATGTGTGCATGGGATCAAGCCCCTGATGATGCATTATGGAGCCATGGTTGATGTATTGGGCCGCGCTGGCCGTCTTGAAGAAGCTTATGGTTTTATACAGAGGATGCCTATGGAGCCTGATCCGGTTGTTTGGAGGACATTGCTAAGTGCATGCACTGTACATGATGTGCATGACCATGCAGGGATTGGAGAAAGAGTGAGGAAGCGGTTACTTCGGGTGGAGCCAAGGAGGGGAGGGAATTTGGTTATTGTTGCTAACATGTATGCTGAAGTGGGTAAGTGGGAGAAAGCAGCAAATGTGAGGAGGGTGATGAGAGATGCAAGAATGAAGAAGATGGCTGGAGAGAGTTGTGTTGACTTAGGTGGCTCCATGCATAGGTTCTTCGCGGGGTATGATCCTTGCCCAGATTTGATACCTGTGTATCATCTACTCAATGGATTGAACTTGCACTTGAAAATGGTTAACTGATACTTACTATAGTAGTTGCTTGCAATGGATTCTAATTGGTCTTATATTGAAATTAGGGAAGGATCCATACATAGGTAAGTTCTTTTGACATTTTTACTGTTGATAATTTCTGTGAGTAAATATTCTTACCATTTATTTCTATATTATATCTATGATATTGTCACTCACCAAGAATGTTGTGGCTATTTTATTAACGTTTACCCCATTTCTGACATTAGTTGATTTTCAAATTCCATCTGTTCTTGTTGCAAAAGGATAACATACAAGCCCTTGAAGCATTATTCACCAAAGTTTTCCTTCATTTCTTAGTTCTAGGTATATTTCAGATGTTACTATAGGCTTTGTCCTAAATATGTGCATATTCTTCCAGCAGCCAGATAGTTAACTAGAAAGGCATCAAAAGTATATAATTTAGTTAACAAACTAAACCCATGAGTGGGAATTGCAAGTAAGATGGTTTCATAACGAAAGAGTTTGATTGTTGGAATATGTTGTGCAAGAACAAAAGGATGTAGGATGCCAATTTCACTATCATCCTCCAATGATCCTTACATATTAAAAAGGAATATAAATTGCTTATAATAATTTCCTACTCTGTGGTTTGGGGTCTTTTGTTTTTGGTTTTGGGTGGAGGTTTCCATTTCTCGTCCTGGATCTTTCGATTGGGCTTTCTCGATACCAATTGGAGGCAATTATTCCCCGCACCTCGCCCAATACCATCTAATCGTGAAAATGACTATTTAAAAATTTGACCAAAAAATATAATTCCAAATGTATTAGAAAGTTTCTGGATTACATATTCTTCAAACATTATGAAAGAATATAATGTATAATTCAAAATGAACTTTTAACTATTTTAAATTATTTTCTCTAAACATTCCATGATAAAATTAATTATAATGCGACAAGGTTTAGGAAACAATTTAAAATCTATTCTGGAATATACTTTTCAATATTAAATTTGTAGCCTTCTATCTTGTTAAATTTACTATTTTTGATAAGAATATTCCAGAATTTAATAATAAAAAAAAGACCAAACAATACAATTTATGTATGATGAAAACTGAATCAATTTATCCTGACAAATATTGAAATACAATGAATTTTAATATTTTTGTTCAAATAATGTATTCTGAAAATTAAAAAATAATTTCATTGAAGCACTTAAAGTTTTTATGCGTTTTGAATTTCATAAAAATTTTAAAATCCACAGTCCAAAATATGTATTTAATTGCAGCTAAAATTACTTTTGGTAATGCCTACTTCAATGGAATTTTTTTAAATAAATATGTGTTCTATCCATTATATGTGAAAATACTAGTTGATTAATATAGTTTTATATCCTGGAATAAATATTTGTCGAATTTATTCCTAAATATTTATCCTATCCATGGTATATGCTGAAACAAAATTTTGGTTGCATTATGTCAAATAATCTTGTACATGTGTCAAAGAGTGTTAATTAAAATTTAATAATAATCAAGCAAATTCAGCATTCCACAGTGACAATAATTACAAATATTATTGATAACATTCAATAAAAATTACATTCACTCAAAATTAACTTTAGTAGAACATTTTCTATAGTTGGGATTTCTTCCTCTAACTTCAATTAAAAAAATTGTCAAAATTTCTAATATAGAATAGTATTGTTTACTTAAACTTAAATTTGTTTCAACAATATAATATTTTTTTAATTTATTATCTTTTAACATTTTCAAAAGTTTTTGGATTTAAATATAAAAGTCCAAGTTCATATTTTAAAAATTTTGTTTAATTATGAATAAAAGAGCATGGCTTGATGGATAAATCATCAAAACTTAAAAAAAAAAACTTTTTTTAAGAAAAAAATATATCTAAAATTAATATATGATTTATCACTGATCAAAACATGTTTTAATAAAAATTTATTCGTGGACGTGGCACAAATTAGCAACCATTATTCCTACGAAAATCAAGCTGCAAAACTAATAAGTTGAAGGTGAATCAGAACTCGCCAGACCATATAAGAGCATTTTTCTAGTAACCTCTTGCGTTTTCAACGTCATATTTATTTTGTTTCTACTAAAGTTTCTTGACATATTATAAAAGGATATGGGATTAGCTTATTGGTATATTTCAACTTATTAGGATTAACTTTTCAAAGCAATTAAGTCGAAGTGGAAAACTTACGGATTCTTTTGATGCCATTGATTTTATCAACAAAGGAACAGTTTTCAGTCAGAAAGATCATTCTGGTGTTTTTTTTTTTTTAAATTAATTCTCAAAATGAATATTTTAAAAAAATTTATATAAATAGATAAGTAGTGAAAACACAACTTAACAAAAAAAAAAGTCCAAATAATATGTATAAATAATTCAGATGCATCAAAACAGTCACACTATATTCTCCAACTTATTTGATTTTGAAATCCAAAATACTTGGTGACCTTTTATCTGTTAAAAGGAATTTTTTTTTTCTATTGTAATTTACTTTTTAAAAAATGAGATTTAGAATAGAAAATAGGAATAAACATATATTCTTTTATTTGTTACAGATAGTGTACTTATATATATATATATATAGAGAGAGAGAGAGAATGAGAATTAGTATTTTAGTTTAACTAGGAAAAATGATATGTTGAAATTGAGTGTTAAATACCAATTGAGAATCCATTATATAGGATATAATATTGCATGGAGTCACATGTTCCCGTGCACAAGGTTTTATTTGATTGGGAGCATGGTTAAACTAGAGTTGTTGGACTATTTCCATGAAACAAGTGAACGTCCCATATATTGTTATTAGTACATCAATAATTATTATTATTATTATCATTATCATCTCCTATCCAAATCTTCAAATAAACGTCTAATATTCAAATAGGACAAATAAGATATGATACTTAAAAATGTTCTAATTAAGAATGGAAACATAATAAAAATTGTGACACTTAAAAAGACTCCAATTAAAAATATAAAAGATAAAAGAAAAGAAATAATAAGGACAACAATAATAATATTTATCAAGATTGTGCTAATTAATATATGTGTCACCTTATTCTTGTATATCCTCGTAAATAAATCTTTTAAAACATTCGTAATTGGGGTTACCATTAGAACAAACTTTAAAATAGAATTGATCAATATAATATATATTACTATTTTTATTAAGCTCATTTTGTCCGGTGATAGATTTCATGTTACTTGTTATTTAACTTTATATACAATGTATATTACTATTTTTAAGCTCATTTTGTCACTGATAGATTTAATGTTACTTGTGATTTAATTTCATCTCTGAACATTAGATAAGCAACTATAACCATGGATGTATAACCCAACATGGATGAATAAAATTCACCAATAAGATTAAATTGAATATTCTAATTCAAATCAATCACCAAGTATAGAGAAGTGACGTTTGTTTCTCATGAAATTGTACAGTGTTGAAAATACAGGATGTGCACAGTAACAAAAGATATATATATACTAACTACTTTGAGGAGGCCATTCCAATTAAGAAGAGTTCCTTTGTGATGAAAATCCACTCCATCAAATGTTGCAGTCCATATGTCATTGAAAAGATGATAAGAGGAGAAGCATGAATCCTATTGAAACTAAATATAGCTCCGTGTACATGGATACTGACACTATTAGTCTTACTATCTTTCAAATGCAACTTCACCCATATCAGGATAGATTGATATGCATCTTTTCATCAACGTGCTTGTGTAAAATGCTGCTCAAGAACCAAGCTTAACCACCCTCCAGATGCAAGAGCGTACGCAACTGAGAGGATCCCAACTCCTGAAAACCAAATCACTCACCAAACAAACATTGAGGTAACAAAAAAATACCATTTCAATTAAAAAAAGAAGCTTGAAATAAGCATATATATATATATATATATATATATATATATATATATATATTAATTTGACTAGGTAAAGGAAGTAAATGTATTGTAGATAATAAACCTGCTATTGCATTGAGTCCATTAAGGCAGGTGCGGAAGAAGGATACAGTATCTTCCGCAGAAGGATGAGAAACTGCGGCTTTATCCTGGTTAATGGCATGCCACCTCACCATGCTCCCACTCTGGTAGTAAAGGCACGTTCATGGATGAATTGTTAGAAAGTTTTTCTGACATTTGAGCAAAAATGGATAGAGATTGACCTGGAAAAAGTTTGAAATCTCGAAGGTTTAATGGGTGGGGTTGATTGAAGTTGGTGGTGGAACAACTCTTTTCCACCGGAATTCTTCACTTTCTTGGACTAACTAACTTTTATGGGCCACATAAATAAGCTTCCGAATTGTGATTTGCCAAACAAGTAAACATTGTTCTTTCAGGAAAGAAAGCTTTGCACATATTTAGCATTTATTAGACGGATTTTCACCTCATGTCAACCAATTCCAAAATAAAAAAACTAAGAATATTGGCAAAAAAAAAAATATAAACACTTAGGAGGCTTGGTCTTCGTCTCGTTATTAGTTATGAAAGTTATGTTTTATTTGTTAACTAACCAATAAAATCTCACTTTTAATATCCATACAAATTCTTTATGCTTTTGCAGTTAATTACAGTTAGAAAACCAAAACAAGTTTCAATAATTTGAAAATTTTAATAAAATTTAACATGCATTAATATAAGTTGGAGTTTATTTCAACAAAGTCGATAAATATAGAATTTATATAATGTGAGCTCAAACTTTGGTGTTATAATTTGAGATTTTATTTATACATAGCGTGTAAATGACCATTGAACTTTTCACATATTTTTATTATACTATGTTTCTAAAGATAATTTGCTGAGAACCTATACATCAATTAAAAATATACTCAGAATGTGTTGATAAATAATCCAATCGTGAAATATATACGGTAAAAAATTATTAATTTTATACATGTGCAGAACGACTTTTAAATAAAAGTTATTTGAAGATGATTAATAATCTCAAATTAATGTAATAACTTTATAAATAGAATTTCATCATCCTTAATAAGATAACAAATTTACCATAACAAAGTTTTTTCATTTTTATTATCTTGCGTAGCGTAGAAGCCCAAGTTTTAAACATGCATTGCCGCGTGATTCTCAAGGTGATTTAAAGTAAGTGATGCTAAAAAGTCAATGTATCATGTGATTTTTCTCACTCGCGTGAAAAGTTAAAAATTTTAACTTAAAATTAACGACTACTTCCTCAGCAGAAAGTTTTTAAATAAGATTGGCTATAAAAAATAAGTTAAATATTAATTTTTATTATTTTTAATAAATTTATTATTTTTTATAAATATCTTTATCATATCTTCTCTTTTTACAATAAATATAAAATATAAAATATAATTAATACAATCTTAAATTTTATAAATAATTTTTTTTTCACAAATTGACAGTTATTTAATAAGATTTTAATTATCCTTTACTCACAAATTGTTATATCTAATGTAATAAAATTATTAGTAGTTTTTCAATGACCGAAATATAGGTTATATCTAACGTATAGTTTTTAATTGATTGACATTTATACAAATTACACTCAATAATTTGTTTAAATTATAAACAATATGATTTAAATCTTACATAATTTATATTTTATTTTATAATTACAACATTAATTGTATATTTTTTTTTTTTTTGCATTTTTATTTTAATTGTAAAATGTGGTAAAAAAAAACATTAAAATTTGAAAGGACAAAAATGGGAGCAACCCGAATTTTTGTGAGCTTAATAGTCTCTGGAAAAAGCCATGTCAGATCGTACCCAATTATTTCAACGTCTTTCAGCAAAAGTGAAACACAGGCATATCAATTTATTAGGTGGCAACATCGGAGCCTAGGATTCACTTGAAATAATTTTGGTGTATGGCAATTCCAATCAATCCACTTTACCACTTCATCTTCTTCCAAGTGTGTGGTCGTGAATCATGATCACCCGGGAATAGATAGTTGATATATTCTACAACCATCGTCTCCATTTTCACTTTTTCCTGGGACAATCCTATCCATGGATCTTACCACCTCTAAACAACCAAAGAAAGGTCACAAAGAAGCCATAGTAGATTCTTCCTGAATGATAAACAGGACAAGTGAACAAAAACCTTAGTCAAACAAAGTTCCAAATTAAGATGCCAGAAGGTTCTCATCTCCCTCTCCTTTTTTAAGCAAACTCTACTCCTTCTCTCTAAAACAATTCTTGCATACCAAACAAGCCACTGAAGAAAAGGTGCAATACCATCACACCCTTGTAGTAGCACTTCATCACTAAATAGTAAATACGCAATAAAAAAATTAGTAACCATTTGAAGTTAAAATATGTCTGCTGCACTATGTTTCTCAGTCTCCCCCACTTTGTTCCACAAGCCTCAAGACCCATCCAAGGACCCCCACCTCTCAAAAGCCAACCACAGAGAGAAATCATGCCAACAATCTTCGTTTGTCATCAGCAAGAGGAAGCTTTTATCCTCTATTGTTATTGGGTTGGGCCCGACATTGGCTGGAATTTCTGTCGCTCAGCCCATAAGAGCTGAGCCAGAGAGCCCAGCAGCTTCCACCTCAAGCAGAATCTCGTACTCGAAGTTCCTGCAGTACTTGGATGAAGGTGCGGTCAAGAAGGTGGACCTCTTTCAGAATGGAACAGTTGCTATTGCAGAGATATACAATCCAACATTGGAAAAAATCCAAAGAGTCAAGATTCAGTTACCTGGTTTGCCTCAGGACTTGATCAGGAAGATGAAGGATAAAAATGTTGATTTTGCTGCTTATCCCTTGGAAGTTAGTTGGTGGCCTGCACTACTTGACTTGTTGGGAAATTTGGCCATTCCTTTGATTTTGCTTGGTTCTCTACTCCTGAGAACATCAACTAATAATCCTGCTGGTGGCCCCAACTTGCCCTTTGGACTAGGAAGGCATGAATTTAGCAATAAGTATATGTAGAACTAGCAAATATTTAGCATGCATGTAGAGACATTTAGTATTGCTAGAATAGGAAAAAGAATTAGCATATATGCTAAGTAAGGCTGTTGATAGTTTAATACAAAAAACTGAACCAAACTTGTTATAATTGCCAAGAACTCAACTGAACAGGTTATTTAGATTAGGTGAATCGGTTCCTGAACTAGTTTTAGTTGTCAACTGGTTTTGAACCAATTTATACAGAGCAGTTCAAGAAGGTTAAAATCAGAACTGTTTTTGAAAAGTTGATTGGCAAAATAACAGAAAAACGAGTACAGAAGGGTAAAATGCAGCAAGCAGGTAAGCTGAGAGAAAAATGAGTGCTTACCATGCAGTCCATAACTAATTTATTTAGTTTTTTCTGAATAATACTCCCGGTCTCAGTAATCAATGAAAAGTTTAATATTTCATGGCAAGTATGATGATTTTAATAGGAGTACATACCATTGGACCACTGATTTTTTTGAAGTATATGACACTTCCGCATAGGTATAAACTAGTATATTGAGCAACTTCCTTGACATTCTTTCCTTTGATCATGTTAACTTCAGGAGTAAGGCAAAGTTTGAGATGGAACCAAATACAGGAGTTACATTTGAGGATGTAGCTGGAGTTGATGAAGCCAAGCAAGACTTCCAAGAGATTGTTGAGTTCTTGAAGACCCCAGAGAAGTTTTCTGCCGTGGGAGCGAAAATTCCCAAAGGGGTTCTTTTAGTAGGGCCTCCAGGGACTGGAAAGACATTGCTGGCCAAGGCAATTGCAGGAGAGGCTGGGGTTCCTTTCTTCTCCCTATCTGGATCAGAGTTCGTTGAGATGTTTGTGGGTGTAGGGGCCTCAAGGGTAAGGGATTTGTTCAACAAGGCCAAGCAAAATTCACCTTGTTTGGTATTCATTGATGAGATAGATGCTGTAGGAAGGCAGAGAGGTACTGGTATAGGGGGAGGAAACGATGAAAGAGAACAAACACTGAATCAGTTGCTCACTGAAATGGATGGTTTTACTGGAAACACTGGCGTTATAGTTATTGCTGCCACTAACAGACCTGAAATTCTTGATTCAGCATTGCTTAGACCTGGTAGGTTTGATAGACAGGTATGTTCTTGCTACTTTAAAACCCTTTATAATTTAACCCCTGTCAATCCCTATATATTATTCATTAGTTTTTTTCATCACTATGTGTACATAGATAACCAATTAGAATTTATGAAAAGTGTGATTTTTAAAGTATTTATTATAAAATTTCATCAAATTTGTCATATATGACAATGAATTTATATTCAACACATCAGAAATCATAGTGTGACTCTTATAATAAATATACTTGACGATTTGTGATTGGTTGCTTAAAAAAACAATCAGTGATAGGACGAGAATATAAAAGACTATATAACGTCAGTAGATAAAATATTTCTTCTATGACTATTGTATTTAGATAATACTGTACACAGAAGTTACATCATCAATACATGTTAACTGAATGTTAACTGAATTCATTATTCATAACTTATACACCTACTGTTGTAGTTTCTTTTTGTTTTTAAGATACATGATTTCATTAGTATTTAGTAATGTCAATATTTTTATCTTTTACATATTTTTATTTTTAAAGTTTAGTTAAATTTAAAAGTACTCCTGCAATACATGAGAAACATACTAAGTGAAGTTTAGGATACATCAAGAAATAGATGAATAGTCTTGTAATTGTTCTAATAGGTCACTATTGGATTACCTGATGTAAGAGGAAGGGAAGACATATTGAAAGTTCATAGTAACAATAAGAAGCTTGACACGGATGTCTCTCTTAATTAGTGTCATTGCCATGAGAACTCCAGGATTCAGTGGTGCAGACCTAGCAAACCTCATGAATGAAGCTGCCATTCTTGCTGGTCGAAGGGGCAAAGATAAGATCACAATCAAAGAAATTGATGACTCCATAGATCGCATTGTGGCAGGCATGGAAGGAACCAAGATGACTGATGGCAGGAGCAAAATTCTTGTAGCTTACCATGAAATTGGACATGCTGTTTGTGCGTAAGTACATCAAATACTTATGTTGATAGGAAAATTTAAGGGCCAATAGGGTTTCGGAGGTTGACTTTCGTTTTTCTTTCTATTTCCAATTTTTTCATTATAACATTTGTACAGAAATTAATGTAAACAAGGAAAAAATTTCTGCAGTTATTCATAAAAACAAGCAATGAAAACCGGTAAACAGGCCTTTAGAACACTTTTGAGAGTGATATTTCTTGCTGCTTCATATTGTTCAACTCTTAAACTTGTTGGTCTTTGAAGTGTGACGTAATAATGTTTACTCTTTGTAGGACACTGACCCCAGGGCATGATCCAGTACAGAAAGTCACTCTAGTTCCCAGAGGCCAAGCCCGGGGTTTAACATGGTTCATACCAGGTGAAGATCCTTCTCTCGTCTCTAAGAACCAACTTTTTGCTAGAATAATCGGAGGCTTAGGGGGAAGAGCAGCAGAGGAAGTCATATTTGGTGAAACTGAGATAACCACTGGAGCTGCTGGGGACTTGCAACAAATTACACAAATAGCAAGACAGGTTAGTATTGTCACCAAAATATGGACATGGATTCGCTCTAGTCATAGAATTTGATCTGTCCAACCTCCATCTATAACTGTTTTAAACTACTGACTCCATGAATGCATGAAAGAGTGATTACGACTCCGTATCCTCAACAATATACGTTTCTTTTGTGGAATGAGAAGGAAAATTTAGATATCACATTATGCTGAAAGTTTGTTATTATATTTGCAACAGATGGTAACAGTGTTTGGCATGTCAGAGATAGGACCATGGGCATTGATTGATCCTGCAGTGCAAAGTAGTGATGTGGTGCTTAGGATGATGGCTAGGAACTCAATGTCAGAGAAACTAGCTGAAGACATTGATAACTCAGTGAGGCAGATAATAGAGGCAGCTTATGAAATTGCAAAAAATCACATTAGGAATAACCGTGATGCAATTGACAAATTAGTGGATGTGCTACTCGAGAAGGAGACCCTTACTGGAGATGAATTCAGAGCCATATTGTCAGAATTCACGGATATTTCTTCAATTAAGATAGATAGAACCTCTGTGTGGGAAATGATCGAAGCATGAGTATAGTTCAAGATTGGGATGACTATGTATAGCTTTATAAATGGAGTAGGATGAGGTTGTAGATGAGTACTACTGGTAGAGAACTATGTTACTTACACTATTTTACATTAAAATACTAATAATTAGTTGACTATATTATATTTTCAAATTCGTAATATATATAATTATATTTATATAATACTATATATAATTATAGTTATATTAAATATTCAAGATGTTACATGCAACACGAAAGACCACATATAAATATCATGTTATTTTTCTAACTCAACTCTTCCCACGATAAAAAATAAAAAATAAATCACAGACAAAGTGTATGATTAAAAAAAGATAACATTATTATTCCTCAAGAGCTTAATATTTTTACGCAAATAATATGAAATATAACATTTATTAAATCAAATTAAAATAAATTTATTCTATTATAATATACAAACATTTATATAATTTATTAGGTATATATAAAAAAGTAACTAATTAATAGTTTATTAAGATTTTAAAAACATTAATTAATTGTTAAAAACTAAACCTACCGTATTCTATAAAGGGACAAAACCCACAGTGATTGATAGAAAACATTAGAAAACTAGTTTTTTTTTTCTGCTAATTTTCTTATAAAAAATTATTTAAATTTATAGAAAACTTATTTCTTGCAATTTTTATAAAAAATTTACAAAAATATTCCCATGAAAAATGAGAATTTTTAGTAGTGATATTAGTAGAATCAACAATATAAAAAAAATTAGTAAGGTATATAATATATGCACTCTACTAAATATGATATTAAATTGATCATTTTAATTTAAATTAAACTTAAATATAATTACATTAGAAAATTGATGTTTGTTTTTTCATAAAATTGTATAATGTTAGAAAGACAAGATGTGCACTAATCGAAAGCATACAAGCTAACAGTTGTGAATTTCACTCTAATTTTAGAGTTCCTTCTTGAAGAAGTCCTACTTGAATAAATGTTGTAATCTATGATATTGATAGGATAATGAAAGTAGAAACAAAAATTTAACTTGTATATACATAAGAAAGTAGATTTAAGTTATCCAATCATCACGTAGGCAAAATGATAAAGGCAATCATTATCCCATATAAATCTTTTCCCTCAATTACTAAGATAGTTCTTTGAACATGATATATTAATCATGTTATCTATCAACTTCAAGAATAAAAAATAAGAATCTTATTGTGTTAATGGTATTTTAGAGGTGGTGTTGATATAAATAACTCTTAAAGAACTTAATTTTTATAAAATTGTGCAAAATAATTTTAAACAAGAGGAAGATAATTTGAAGTAAATGAATTGCACTCTAATTTATTATTTCTCTTTTCTTCAGTTTGCATATATGTAAGAAAATAGATACAAATTATCTAACCAACATGTACACAAGATGATAAAGACAACCAATATCATAGAATTATCCACTAGTACAAAAATCACTTTTAACATCGGCATTTCCACATATTCAAGACTTTTTACATCAGTTCTCAGATGAACCGATGTAGAAAGTCTTTTTATAAATTTAAGAGAATTGTCACTAGCAAGATTCGAACCTAGTACCTTAGATTTGAAGGCTGATACTCCAACCACTAAGCTACTAGGATTTTCTGATAATAACTTATACATAAATTATATTTATATACAAATAAAAATGTATATCCATGTAAATATATAAATATAAAATATATAAATACAAATACAAATATATTTATATATTTATATGTTGGATGTGAGAGCGCTTGAGAGTGAAAGTGTATGACAAGTGGATTTTCAAAATTTGATGTTAAATTTGTGAGCTGAGTCTCTTTATATGAATTTGTAATTTAATAATAGAATAAAATCTTTATAATTTATTTATAATAATATAGAATATAATCTTTATAATTAATTTATATAATGATATAAAATAAAGAAAAAAAATTATTTTATATCATTATATAAATAAATTATAAAGATTATATTTTGTCATTAAGTTATAATCCATATAAAGAGACTCGCTCACAAATTTGACATCAAATTTTGAAAATTCACTCGACACACATTTTTATCCTCGAGCGCGCCCTCACATCCAACATATAAATATATAAATATATTTGTATTTGTATTTATATATTTTATATTTATATATTTACATTGATATACATTTTTATTTGTATATAAATATAATTTATGTATAAGTTATTATCGAAAAATCCTAGTAGCTTAGTAGTTGGAGTATCAGCCTTCGACTCTAAGGTACTGGGTTCGAATCTTGCCAGTGACAATTCTTTTAATCTGATAATAATTCAAATTCTTAAAAAATTTAAATAATATAATAAATAATAAAAATATAATATAAAAGGAAGAAGAGACCTACCTATCAATAGATAGGGTAATTGGAGAGGGGTTATGCATAAATAAAAATATTAGACTTTCTATATCGGTTCCTTACAACCGATGTGGAAAGTCACACTTTCTACATCGGTTCTATCTACATCGGTTCTAGAACCGATGTTATATAACTCTCAAAAAGCCTATTTTTTATAAGATTATACAAATTTGTGCAGAATATTTTTAAACAATAGGAAGATAATTTGAGGTAATTAAATTACTATCTATTTCATTATTTATCTCCTCTTCTTTTCTTTCACTTACAGATAAATAAGAACACGTATATTCAAATTATTCCATCAACATGTACGCAAGATGATAACGACAACTAGTATCACAAAGATTTGTTTTCTCCTAATTGCTAAATGTTAAGTGACAAAAGTTGATGTAATTATGTTTTGAATTATTATTTAACCACTTAAATTATGTTAATTATAATATATTTTTCTCCCAATGTAGGATAAATTTACAGAATACCTAGGTACAAGAGCAAGAATCATAGGTCTCAAGTTAATTGAAGAAAAATTGGAAAAAGGGAAGAAGATTTTTAGCTTAAGATTCGCTCGAGCGAGACAGACGCTTGCTTTAGCGAAAATACGTTAAATCTCTCTAGAAGTTATTCACTCGAGCGAGACAGATACTTGCTTGAGCGAAAATATGTTAAAACTCTCGAGAATTCAATCGCTCAAGTAAGAAAATTCTCACTTGAGTGAAAATCATCTACACTCGCTTGAGCGAATGATGCGAAATTTTTTTATAAATAGATAAGATGCATTTTGAGAAAAGAAGTTTTGGGGTTTTGAGAAGAAAGGCACGACAACTGATCGAGTTTTCGCCCAATCTTCAGTTCATCTTCATTTGGATCATTGTAATGACCATCATGAGTTGTTAACTTCATTCTCTTAGAATTGGGTGCACTTCCTTTGAACTCTTTTGTATCTTGATGATATTTTGAGATATTAATCTATGTTCTTGATATTGATATTCTTATCCTTTATGCTCTTTAATATTTATCTTTGATATTTGGGATGTATTGGAAAATATATCTTGAAACCCTAGATCAGGTTAAGAATATTTGCTATGTTAATTGCTAGGAATGGTAATGAATGTATCAATTGCTTAACACCCTAAACCTAATGCTGGAAAGTCTATTAAATGTATGAGGAATCGACGTTTATTAGGTTTTATTATGAATTTCATGTGTGAGGAATCAATGTGAATGATTTAAGTAGGTGACATCAACATTGATAGGTTAATTGATGTTCTTAATTTGACCTAGCCATTATACAAAAGAGGGAAAATGAATTAAACCAATCCTAAGTTCTTTTATTTGATCTTTTCTAAAAATATTTTACAGTTTTTTGCCATTTATTTTCAACCTAAATCTTTATAAAAACTCAGTTTTGTATTAATCCATTTAGTAAGCATATGATTCAGAATTTCCAGTGAAATCGTTCCTCGTGGGATCAACTTTTATTTAATTGAAATACTGTACTGTGATTGATAATATTGATACGCTTGCCAAAAACCAACACTAAACCAACTATTTGAATCATCCAAATGTGGAACATTTTACTCATTTTATCACCTTCAATAATAATGAATCAAGAATCCCATTATATTGGTGGTATTCTAGAGGTGGTATTGTTATAACTCTTAAAAAAATTACCTTTTGTCAAAAAACTTAATTTTTATAAGAATGTGCAAACTTGTGTAGAGTATTTTTAAACATAAGAAAGATCATTTGAAGGGATTTGATTGGTCTCTGTTTTTTTTATTTCTATTATTTTTTTCTTTCACTTGCAGATGCATAAGAAAAATAGAGAAATATTGTTATTAAAGAACAATAAGACAAAATTAATAAGGTTTAAGTGAGACAGTGTTGTGTATACTGTTAAAGAATAGTAAGACGACATATTCAGAGTGATGGAGATCCCATATAATTCAATCACTAATCTTTCAAGTTGTTGGCTAGAAGAATTGTGAGTAATTGTAAAATTAAAAAATTTAAGAGGTTTATTATGCTCTATTTCACGTGTAAAAAAAAATAGAGAACAGACAAATTAAGTGATTTTAATCTCAATTATATGGAAAAGTAATTTTACAATATAGTTAATAAAGTGAATATTGCATTGTACATTATAAATGGTGGACTGTTTACATGACAAAAATGTAGCATTGTCCTTTGATATTTATTGCAAGCAACAGAGTATCAAACATAAAATACTCCTCATAAAATTCCTCAGTTGAGTGGTCTAGTAGAGAGGATGAACATGACTTTGATTGAAAGAGCTAGATATATGCTTTCTGAAGCAAAGTTGCCTAAGCATTTTTGGGGAGAGACATTGCTTGTAGTTGTGCATGTTATTAATCTTTGTCCTACAGTTGCTTTGAATACTGAGGTGCCAGACAAAATTTGGTTTGGCAAGAATTTTAACTATGATCATTTGCGTGTCTTTGGTTGTAGAGCATTTGTTTATGTTCCAAAGGATGAAAGATCCAAGTTAGATGCAAAGACAAGGTAATGTATTTTTATTAGTTATGGTCAGGATGGGTTTGGCTACAGGTTGTATGATCCTATTTAGAAAAAGCTAGTTAGAAGTCATGATGTGCAGTT